TTCACAGGAGGAAACCGTCAGTTCTCCTCCAGACTTCATCCCCATCATAGGGTGAGCCAGAAGGTGAGTGATGGATCCTCCCTGCGTTCACGCCCACCACCAACACACTTCCTAGCAGACATGACGCTCAATCTGCTGACACCAGAAACCTTCTTTCTTTATTTCCTTTTTATTATTATTATTATTTTTTTGGTGGGCAGTAAACAGCAGCTAGGTTAATACCGCGATCAAAGACATCTTTTTATGCAGACCAGGCGCCTCTGGGTGTATCGCTGCCCCCCTCAGGACACTGGCTTGCGCATCATTTCCTGTGCATACATGTCTGGTTATACTCTTACAGCAGGGTGTTACAGTGAGCCTGACGCAGATATTTTTGATTTATGCTCAATATTGAAGCTCGGTCTGCGCTACACGCTGTGGGTCTAGATACGGCCGAGGCGGTGAGGAAGTGGAGGCAAGGTTGTGCGACAATGGAGGGACATGAGGGGGAAAAGATCCAGGAGGGAAAAGGGTCCCAGCGTTCTCACGCACATCAATCTTCTAGCTGAGTTGTTTTCCACAATTACGGTCATAAAAACAAAACAAGCCGGCCTCCTGTCTGCAGCACTCTCTGCCGTCACCTACAATTTGGGAGAGGTGCAGCAGAGTGTCTGCGGAGGGGGCGGGAACGTCTTTGCGTTCACTGCGACAGCTTCGCAGACGACTTAGTTTCAAAGTATGAATCAGCCTTTATGCTGCTGTGGATTATGCAGAAGTTAGGCTGTGGTTGGACAGAAGTTATGGACCCGTTATGATACTCTATCAGGGCTCGATGATAACCATCGCCCGGGGCAGGTAGTTTTTTTTGTCGGGAGAGTACAAATTTCATTATTTTTGTGATCATTGCACTTTCCCGACGGGCAAATGTAATGATCGCAAAAAAAATCATCACTCAAAATTACTTTAAAATCTCCGACATTCGATGAAAACGACCCAGAAGCGTTGCCGGCGCCATTTTTTTTTTTTTTTTTTTTTTTTACATATTCTTGCATGATTTGAAAAAGCCGGGGGATTTTCTGCCAGATGGCGTGATTTTTGTCCACCTAGCGGTAATGTTGATGTAGTTACCAAAACGACAAACGGCTGCTTTTATCTTGTCAGGGAAAACTAATCCTGATCAGTTAAAAGTCAGGGAATTCTGAAATGATGTCAGACTGTGGAAACCCTGAATAAAATAACTATGTATAATGATTCTCTAGAAAAGTCACATTATATTAATAGTATTATCTTGTATANGTGTGTGATGGACCTCTGGCTCTGATGGAGGTTTGATTGTTTTATTTGGCTAAATGTTCATTTGATTTGTGTTTATCTGACTGTGTTCATTATTATTCCTCCACTAAATGAAAGAAAGTCAGAGTTTATTATTATCTAAAGAATATTAATAACAGGAGGTGAAATGCAGTTCCAGACGAGCAGAGTGTGTGGTGATGTGATCAGTACGCTTCTGTTCCAATTGACCGATATTTATTCTGCTTGCTCCCGTTCTCCAAGTCCAGACTTTCCTGTGTTCTCACCAAGTCTGCTTGGCGAGAACATGAGTCCGTACTCGTGTTCTGGTAAATCAAGAAAGCCTTAAATCTGTCTGGGTGGACTACGGTGTCCTGCAGGGATCCATTTTAGGTCCCATTATATTGGATCTAGATAGGATTCCCTTCGCCGCCGTCGGTGGACTCCATGATGTTTCCTATCGTTCACATAAATCCGTCTGAATGCCAAAAAATAAACTTTAAACTACCTCGACGGGCGTGTATCCCTTTAGTCGTACAAAAAAACCTATTAAAGGCTATTTCTCCATACGCTTCAAAAAACAACAAAAACTGAGTCTTTAAATAGTTTTTTGTACATGACCAAAGGGATAAACGGGAATTGACTGTGTATGCTGGTCTGACGCGGTATGTTCATCTGACAGAACAGTGGCGGAATGCTGGAGGTCTGGAGCTCCCAACAGGAACTGCAGATTATAGTGGGATTATGATCCTGATGAACTGATGAACAGAGGATAGTTGGAGGAGGACTTTACCGCTTAGAAACTAATTGATGAATTTTTGTGGTTTAAATTCTCGTTAATCTGGTTTCAGTATATTTAATTAATTTAATTTCTGTTTCCTGTCATCAGGCCACTGATCGTCATGGAAATGAGCTCAATAATAAAGGTCACATCCTTTTCCAAGCAGTTCCACTGAACTTCCACTGAACCTCTATATCAACAATAACTGGAAAAATCAGGATGTTCTAAAACTTTTGACCAGTAGACAGAAGGAAACGATGAAGTGAGTGGAAGGAAGAAAGGAGGCGGAGCTCAGAGGGGTCACCAGCTCTGCATCCATACCTGTAGAGTTCACGTCGGGTCAGAGCGCTGCTGTACTGGCCGCTGATGCCTCCCACTGATTCAGACGCCGCCATGCTCCCAGACTGCTGCTGCTGGAGGCGGACGCACAGCGGCAGCACCACCTCATGGAGGCGCTGTGAGGAAAACACAGAGGGATTGAAAGGGGCGGAGCTCATCGCAGCAGAGAAACACCCACCAATTTAAAAACCTTCCTGTCAGGTGGCGAATTTATTAACATTTTAACCCTAAAAACACCAGAATGGAGGAACCTGAGATACACGATTACTTCATTAAAACCTTTCATTCTTAGCAATGCGTGTTAGCATTCGAGGGTAGATTGCTTTGACCTCAGTTCACCAAAAGGTGCAGCTGAATATTTGGCAGGCAAATTTTTACCAGATATAAAATTCAATGTAAGGAATTCAATGTGTAAAAAATTCAGTTTAAAATTCGGCGTACAAAGATAAGGCAGATTCTTCAGTAAGCAGGCAGCCGCAGCTAGCCACAGCTAGCAGGCAGCCACAGCTAGCAGGCAGCAAGCAGGCAGCCGCAGCTAGCAGGCAGCCGCAGCTAGCAGGCAGCTAGCCGGCAGCTAGCAGGCAGCTAGCAGGCAGCCGCAGCTAGCCGCAGCAAGCAGGCAGCCGCAGCTAGCAGGCAGCAAGCAGGCAGCCGCAGCTAGCAGGCAGCCGCAGCTAGCAGGCAGCTAGCCGGCAGCTAGCAGGCAGCCTCAGCTAGCAGGCAGCTAGCAGGCAGCCGCAGCTAGCCGCAGCAAGCAGGCAGCCGCAGCTAGCCGCAGCAAGCAGGCAGCCGCAGC